ATAAAGTTTTGTAAATCCTTTTAAAATATCTGAATTTTTTTCATAAACTCAATAATTATGACATTTTGTGTTTTATTCTTATGTTTTCCCCTATAGAAATAACAATAAATTAAATCGTAACAATAATGTAAATTATTTTCTTAACTTACATTTCAAATCTGTCAGCAAAAATCCTCTTGCTTTGTTTCTGATAACAAAACCGATAAAATTGGTTTCTGTGTCACCCAAAACCGATACAATTTCTATTTCGAACGTCAAACCAATAATATCTGAATTCATGACACCTACTACAATTTTTTATCGCTTTCAGCCCTGACAGTTTGTACGAAATAATTCACGTCTTAGTATTAGATCAAAATATTAAGAATTTAAATGGGTAGAAATATCAATATATTAAGTCGTTTGTCTCTCCGTCTGTCCGAGGCTCCCTCTGCCCCTCACAAATAAAAAAATGTCCATACAAGAACTTGATTTTGAACGACCAGTTTCTATGGTTGATTATATGAGATTGTGCCGTTGCCTTAGACAATATACGCGAACAAGTCGCTCAGTTTACGAGATATCGAACTGAAATTTTGGACACATCCTTTTCTCCCCAATAAGCTGCTCATTTGTAGGAACCGCTGATATCGAAATACTGTAGCATATAGCTGTCATCCAAACTGAACGATCCAAATCCAGCCCTTGTTTGGAAAACTTTTGTATTTGACAATACATCTTTAGGAAATTTGCCATGGGTTGTTGTTCAGATCGCACCACTATACTGCATAGCTGCCACACAAACTGACTGATCAAAATCAAGTGGTAGTAAGAAAAACTTGAACCTGTGACGTCAATGTTTTTTCGTTTGTAGCTAAAAGCACACAAATAGCAAGCAGTTTTCAACGATATATTCTTTACTATCAAATTATCGGGTTTTTGTATAACATTCAATATTTTGGAGAGAACTCACGATAAAACAAACTTACCCAATTTTACATTTGAAAGCTTTTTTCTGCCCTTTCAATGGCGTAAACATTGATAGTGACAGGCTTCGAAATTATTTATGGCTAACTACAAGTATTAGTGTTTGTGGTAATTCGGAGTTTCGTTGCTGTATTAATCTTGTTTTCGATTTTGTGAAATAACATCAAAACTGATCGATTGTTTGGGAGCGGAAGATTTAGAATTATATGTATATTTTTTATGCATGTTTCGAAGTCCCTTAGAGAACACATAAGTATATATAGTATGTACATTCAAGAATATACACGTATGTATATGAATTAAGATTTTGAAAATTTGTTTGACGTTTTGACGTTGATTGATAAAAAATTGCGCTTAGACCGACTATCGCGAATAGAACAATCTTATTATTCAAGTCAAAACAGAATATTTACTATAAGTCATATACTCGAAACTCGTTTTTGATCTAAGATTTCTTCGGTAGTGCATAAATATATATGTTACAGTAGTTTATAAAACTCGTAAATACTATAAGATTTGCCGACGATTTTTGATTCACACAGTTTGACCCAGTCTACCATAATGCACGAGTACCTGTAAGTACATATATTCAAATTTACAGTTTCTTTTGCTATTATTGCATATCATTTCGTAAATGCATAATAGTCAAGCAATATCACATTTCCCCTTGGGCTTATTAATTATTGTAGATACGTACGTATATATGTACGCAGGTATTGGTGGCGCAAACCCAACATTTACGAAAAATCACAAAAACATCGAAGGTAAAATAAATCAATAAAAATATAAAAAGCGTTAATTTCATTGCTCAATCAAAAATTACGTGTGTAAAAACGAATGAAAAAACGGTAAAAAAAAAATAAGTGAAAAGGAGCGAAGTTATTTGCGTTGGAAATTCGCGATGTTGAAAAGACATTTTGATTTATAACGTTGCATTTAATATTTAGATAATTTAATTAAATATTAATATTATTATATAATTTTACAGTTAATTTTTTAGGCAACCACTGCCCTGATTGGGATTATTTCGCTACCGGCAAGTATTTGGCGCCAAACCAATGTTCATTCGTTGTTGTTCTTGTGGGACCAGAAAGCGTTCCTCAAAGTCATGGGCAGCATAAAAATTTGCTGCTGTTCTGGTTACATAAAACCCGACTGTTCGCGGCAGTAAGCGATTAACTTTGATTTTGTGTTCAACGTTTAGAGGGGTTTTCTGGAAAGAATACATTACAGGACATTTTTTCAACAATATTTTCACAGTCCATTTAAGATGGAGAAGTGACAACAATCAGTCAAGGTAGATCGTCGAATTCGAAGGAATTTTCGCAAAGTTATAAAGTTTTGAATTGCTTTCACACCAGCTTTTGCCTCAAAACCTCAATTAAAAGTTATTTTCCGAAATTTTACTATTTTATTAACTTTATTTAAATGCCAATAACCCTAATGTTACTCACAAGGAGAGTTTTTAATGATTTATTACTGTTATGATAATATAGTTTCCCATATAATATTATAATCAGTCAAGACAACAACAACAAGGATATTTCAATAAACATTTCAGCTTCACAAAAGCGAAAAAGAAAATAAAACATGAGAGTTAATTACAAAATTATACAAAATGGTAAAAATTACAGCGAAACAAAAAGTAACTCGAAGCAAATGAAGAAAATAAAAGAGGAAAAACAATTAAAACAAAGAAATAAATGGTAACACAAGCCAAAGCTAGTAAATAAATATTTCGACGCAAGTCAGTTAAACGAATATTTATGTACACACATATGAACTGTAAATATACATACATACATATGTATTATACAAATAGATGTACGTATCTATGAAGCTCTTGTCTCGTCTACAAGATACCAGATTGTGACTAATCGTATGAATAAACAAATAAAAAGTAATAAAAACACCGTTTCATTCGATGGTTATTCATGAGTGGTTTTGGCGCTGAACGCTACTGGTCAAAGAGACACATACATACACATACTTAAGACTTTGGGGCACACAAACTCAGTTATGAAATATTCATGATTATTATTATGTCTTAGGCGTAAAATTGTATAATAATTTTAACAGTTATTTATATTTTATAAATTATTTAATCTTCAATCAAATCAAACTTATTACGTAAAAATTTAATGTGTAAGGAGTTGTTAAGCATGTTTGTGACTTGCCAAGGCGTGCTATATGAGAAAAAAATTCTTATAATTATTTTTTTTTTTAAATAAAAGCTTATCGGAAGTTGTGGCGTGAAATATTTTCCGAAATGAGCTTAAAATATTCCAAACATTAAAAGAAAGATAAAACACGCGCACTACACACTCCTCAACCAAACAAAAGCCATTTTTTATGCCCGGAACGAACGAATGCTCGCTTACATAAATACATATGTATATACAGCATTCACCCATACATATGTACATATAAAAATTCGTACTTACATGCATACATACACTAGTACAAACACATCCAAACATTGCCAACAGGTGTGCATGATTACTAACAAAACTTCTTATACATAACGCAAATTTGTTTGCAAAACAAATATATTTATGTACAACAACAATGTGGGCAATGTAATTTATTTATACAAACTGTATTTGCGGTTGTTGGAAATAAATTGGTGCTTGATGTTTTTCTTTTTTAAACGAGCATTTAATTGTGTACACACACTAGAGATTGCTTATAAAGCACAAACATAAAAAATTGTTTTATTAGAAGATGGTGTTCTCAGTTTGCAGTTTTTCATTGGTTTTAGGAGTCTTAAACTACTGAGAACATTTTTTATTGAAATTATTTTAAGAATTTGAATATTTTACCCAAATTTAAATTTATATTGTTTGTTTATAGACCATGTTAGATAGTTTTTGAAAGCAAAACAAAAAAAAAACAAGTAAGGAAGGGCTAAGTTCGCATGTAACCGAACATTTTATACTCTCGCAAAGTCAAATGATATACTCGTTTTAGATTTCTTTGTGGATCTTGCCACCTTGTTCTATGTTGACCGATATTTTCGCTAAAAAGTCAACTATATGCACTGGGGTCCACATATTCAGTACCTAGGGGCTTGAACAGTTTTGGTTCAATTTAAATAATTTTTGGTCACAAGGTGGCAAATTTTAAACGTATTATTCACGCAAAGTTTTACGCCGATATAATCATTGTTGTTTGATTTGCATACTGGAAAGTGAAAAAATTAGATGGAATTTAAAATGATATTATATGGGAAATGGGCGTGGTTGTAATCCGATTTCGACCATTTTCGTACTATAACATAGAAATATGAGAAGAATATTATGTACCGAATTTGGTTGAAATCGGTTAAGCAGATCCCAAGATATGGGTTTTCACCTAAAAGCGGGACCACGCCCACTTTGAAAAAAAAACTTAAACTGCAGATGCCCCTCCCTAATGTGATCTTGTATACCAAATAAGAGTCTTGTATCTTGTTGTGGAGCTTAGTTATGTAAAATTTTTTGTTTTTGAATAATGCCGATTTGTGGGCATGGCAGTGGTATGATTACGCCCATCTGCAATACCCTCCGTCTTACGGTACCAAGAAACATGTGTACCAAGTTTCATAAAGATATCTCAATTCAAGACAGACAGACAGACGGACAGACAACTCGTCTCTTCATCCTGATCATTTTTATATATATATAATCCTATATCTAGCTCGATTAGTTTTAGGTGATACAAACAACTGTTAGGTGAACAACTCTTTAGCAATAAGCTGCGAGAGTATAAAAATGTTAGGACAAAAGTTGTAGATCTTTTCATTACCTATAACCTTGCCATATAACTTTTTCCAATAGGATTCATGTTTAAACCTTAAAAATTCAACAAAGCCCCTCTTCTTACTCTTTTCGAGCTAACTCAGATCTCCCGTAAATTATTTTTCATTTCATTTTTGTTATTTTATTATTTTATTTTCCTTTTCAATGTGTTTCAACCTACTGTGATATTTTTCCACTTTTCCCCACTTTTAAAGGCTTCTGCCTATTATTTAATTTTGATATGAAAGTTATTCACATTTCTACAAAAGATCGCATTTTATAGTTCAGAAATTAAATCGAAATTAAACTAAAACCTTTCAAATTATGCTGCAAAAGTGAAAGAATGCATAGTGAATTTTAGTGTGTAACAATTATACAACTAATTAAAAGTTTATTTCGTCAGTATTTTACATTCACAACCAGCGATAAAACGATATCAAGCGATTCAATCTATTTTTCGCACGTTGACCAATAGTGCCAACAAGACTGGCCAACATTGAAGTTAATACCAAAATACATATAATAAAAATGTGTATGTACATATGTATGTACAATATAATTATGTCGACATACAGGTCTGTATAGAGTAATGGGCGAACACTTGAATGAATCATAGACCAGTCGACGTATGGTAAAGAGCATTGGCCAACTTGAAAGTAAACGCGTAAAATCAACAAAACACACATCTGCATACATATACATATCTTTGTACATAAGTAAGTGTGCAAATGCAAGAATTTACAATAACAGCGTGCAATATACCGTGTCAATGAAGGACGGTAAAATGTGGTGAAGAAATGTAATGACACGCATTATTCTCGTACATTCAAATGCACATAGAGATATACATATTTACTTGTAGATATGTATAGGATCTATTTACTTATATATGAACAAGCATATGTATGCATTCGAACGTGACTATGATGCTTGCCGGATTAATTTAACCGGAAGTGCTACCCGCACACTTTTCCTACACATGGCTTACATTCTTTTGGAGTAGGTACATATTTGCTTTTGTGCTATGACATAATTCTATTTGAGTTTTTATATTTTCTACTCACCTTTCGATTTTGCAGGGAAACGCAAAGGAGGGTATATCGGCCATTGTCTTCTCGTCGCGATATCCCTCCGGAAAGCTTTCAACAATGACACAAGACGGTGATGTCTGACTGCCGCCCGTAGGCGTACTATGTTTTTCTCCATTATGTACGAGCGCGACTTCACACCAAAACTCGAAAAGTTTCTTTACATCCGTTCTGCAAACAAAATTTCACATTTCGTAAACACAAATACAAATATTTTATATTAAATTTAAATACAACTACAAGATAAGACATATTAAGCATATGTATTTATAATTATGGCAAACACTCTTGTAATACATATGAACTTTTCGCTTATCACTTTTCAAGTAAATCAGCATTTGTTTTTCCACAAATTCTCATCAGATAGTTGGTCAATTGGGGAGAAATGCACTTGAGCGTAACGCCTACTGATTAATTGTTGTACATTAGACGACACACACACGTTTCAACCTGTCACAATTGTATAAACAAGTCTACGAATATTTGTTAGAGGATGCCTTGTTCACTTGTGATGAATGAAGGGGCATTCTGACGTTGCAATTCTCTCATGGTCACAAGTTTAACTTTTTTTCCAAACAGCATTATATCACAACTTGTTCGGAAAGCGGTTTTTGTATGTAGAATGTTTGATTGAAATTTTTAAGTGTTTTACACTTAAATAAGATTAGCACTACACTAAATAAATTCAATATAAGCGACATAATCAAAGACACTCACTTTATACGGGAACTCATACTCGATGCGCTTGCAGTCGCCGCCCTGCTACCATAAAGAATTTCCACTTATATTATGTTGTATTATGCAGAAACCATGGTTTTAAATTATACTAAACATAATAGCACAATCACTTTCTATTATTAATTTATTTGTTTAAACACTACAATAATGTATATAAAATATAATGGGCTGTTACTTATTTATATGATTTCTTATTATCTTTTCGTAACTTTTTCTGAACGACGTCACTACCGATTTCCGTACTTTTGCAAAGGGTTTTTACACTGACTCGCGTTTTATAATTTTTCCGTTCACAACCTACGCTTTTTCTGCAGTCGTCTGCGTTTGAAATTCATGCACTAGATATTTACATATTATTCGTCATTTCTTCTATTTAAATTATTTATCAATCTAGACATTAAAAAAATTAATGTCTACGAGACAAAAGCAAAAAACTGTAATGAAAAATGTACGAATAGTGAAAATCAACGCAACAAAATAAAATGACAGTTCAAATCAGATGAGTGTCAAAACATAGCAGGGTTGCCATTATTCGGATAGTACGGTTAGGAAAAAAGGGAAATTAAAAATACCCTTCTTTGCTTATAAATAACATTTTGTCGGAAGGGAAAAGCGGAAACGGATGATCAAGCAAGTCTTAAGTAAAATAAGAAGAAGAAGTAAGTTAAGAGAAGTAACACTTATGAATTATATAGAGTGATTATAAAAACATTGTGACATAGCATTTTTACATGCACGGGTTTAAAGAACATAGTAAAACTTTTTTACATTTACAAAATCATTATAGAAGCATGTAAAAATGGAAAGCTACAACAATCTTATTACACGAATTACAGTTACATGTACACACATACATATATATATTTGTACAAAAATGGCGAAGTGCTCATCCATTATAACGTGTTCTAGAGCTTGCTGTTTTTTCCTGCTTCGGTTCACTGTTTAACGTACTAGTATCTAAAATTATGTAAACATAAATACTATATATTTATGGATACAAAAAATCATAGCGAATTTGAGCTCTTACTTATTTCAGTATATCCAAGATTTTTCATCTCTTCGACATTTTGTGTCTCTAGACTATTGTATGCTGAAGTAGCATATGCCAACGTATAACGAAGACTACCGAACAGTTCTTTCATATCTGTGTGTGTTTTTGCATCTTTATACTGCTGACATTTGCGCAACTGCTCCAATTGCATTTTAACAGTTTCCGTTATTTCCAAAGATTTAAATAATTGATTTTGAAAACTATTAAGAGGTTCATAAATCTCATTTGTTTCTTTGAATTTCTTCTTCTTGGCACCACCAAAGCAACGACGCTTTCTCGGTTGCGTATGCAAGGCAATTTCCATTTCAAAGCGATCCCATATCATCGGTCCTTGCTTTAGCATATTCAAACGTGTGCGTAAGCAGTGAACACACATTGAAGTGGACAAAAATTTACGCAAATAATTATGCTCTGATTGAGAACACTTGGACAAAAAAGCGTTCTCACAAAAAAATGGATCAGATTCAAATTTAACACCATCACGGTATTTACCAACCAAACGTACCATCAGCAATAGAAATACATATGAGATGAGTTCACCATTGTGTTGCTTAGAGTTTCTGAAGAATTGATCTTTCATATTCTTTACAATACTCTGCGGTAAAAGCTGCACATCGTCATAACAACTTTCATATGTGCCAACATCACAATTGAATATAATCGCGTCACCAAGTTCTCCTCTACAAATCTGTAGAGTAAAAAATGGGCACTGCATAGTTATAAATATCATCTAAATAGTAATAATTACCGTGTCCAGAACAGAAATCGGCGCACCAATAAGATATGGCATAGGACCCATTAGATAGTCGCGTAGTTGCAGTGGCAATATGGGTATATAAGTGTGTTGCCATTCCATGGGATAGAGTAGTGCATTGGCAGCTTGCACGCAGGCGGAATGTCGATCCGGCTGCTGGGATGTGATAATGATGCGACGCTCTTGCAAGAGTGAAGCAATTATGGATAGCATGATTTTAGGCGTGGCCAAATTATAAAACTCTGTTAAATTGTGCTGTAAAGAAGACAGTGGCGAATTAAGAAAAAGCTCAGGGTATAGGCAAACACTAAATTAGGTGCATACTCACATTTTCTGGAATACAGGGTAATTTATAAAAGGATGGTTGCTCAAAGGAAAACATCTACGAATGTAAATAAATTATGGTATTAGTAATCATTTTAAATATATTTATGTTATTAACGACGTTTATCTTCTATTCTTTTTAGAAAAGTGTAGAAATCACCTTACGACCCCCACCCACCGGTACAAGCGTTATTTCTCCGCGTGACGGCACTGTAGCTTTATAACAATTCGTGAGAAATGCATGAAAATCATTTGATTGTCGTTGCTTAAGTTCGGAAAGCGTTGTCAGCATGTTGAAGAAGGTCTCATGCCATGGCAGGCGCGTAAGTAAAAGCATAATTGAATTGGCATCGAAGTCATAACGACAAAAGCAAAACCGCCAATGAGAATCTTCTGCAGTCAACACAAATGAAAACGTTCCCACTGGAACGCTGTATAGAATTGTATTTTAACTAATGTATAATATTAAATGTAACTACTCACTCTTCAGTTACGCACGGTGTACTCGCAAACAACTGCAGCATCTTCAATATTTTATCATCACGAAAATTTGTGGGAAACTTTTGCTTGATCGATGTTACATTTTGATTTGTGTAATTTTCGGTGTGATTCACAGGACAGTTCAACTCACAATAGACATCGAAAAGGCTGGTTACGTCCACGCTATTAAAAAAAATCGTAGAATTGAAAGGATATGCAATTTCAACGCGCTAAACATGACTTACTGAACTCGCGTGCCGGGAATGCCTGCTAAATTATTGCTCATAACACAATTTTCCGAGGCTATAGCTACAAAATTTAACTTCTTCGTTAATTATCTTACGCTCCGGAATCATAACCACACTATTTAATTTATTAAGTTTTTTATACATAAATTTTGCAGTCTTTAAGTAAGCTATTTTTATTGAAATTTTAATATTTTTTTATACAATAATTTTAGTTTTTGTTATGAAGAAAAAATTGTTTATTCTTTCATACTGACATTAAGTATTAAAGTGTCACTTGTAACGAACTAGGTGAAAAACTGCGTTCAATTTCTTCTTTTTTTCAAAAATATGTGTATTTTCATATTTTTCTGCGTACCTTATATTTGTTGTTCAACTAATAGATCCTTATTTAATTAAAATGTTTGTTTATTTCCAGGATCCCACGACGATAATGGGAGCATGGTGGCTTTGTTGACTAGATAAAGTTGAAACGACGTCAGAAGGTAGTCGTAAAGCGTTATTCGGTTACAGTTATTGACTTGTGAATATCTTCCAACGTCCAATACTTTTTGTAGTTTTGTAATTTTGCCAAAATCATGGAGTGCAGATAGTTGAAATTATAACGAGATATTTCCAGTGAATAGTCCTTCAATCACCGTGAAATAGATAAATGAAAACCTCTTCTTTGGTTGACTAAGTTAAAAAAATACATTAAAAAAGTGATAATTCTCCTTGTTAAATTTTCGTAAGTTGAAGAAAAACTATTGATTGCCGACTGCGACTTTCCTCAAAATTATTTGAGATTGTTTTCTGCCGCCACAACTGCAACATGTTTAGTTCGTGGATCGCCTTTTCAACCCTCTTGACTTATACTTGACTTCTGCATAGTAAGAAGTCATTTCGATATTTAGTTATGCTCACATGAAGAATCATCAATTTGAAAATCGATATATATATAAGTATTTTTTGAAAGAAAAAAAATTTTTTTCTGAACCTTTTCTTAGATGTACTTCTAAACATATACTTGTTTCAATACATAACTTATATAAACCCTATCTGCAAGAGTTTTTGACATCATAAAGGACTGTTCTTAAACTGTTCAAGTGTCATTTTCTTCTCGGTAATCCTTCTTAAAACCTAACCTATGACTCGACGTGGTTGTTGCTCTCCAGTATGGCATATTCAATAAGAGAGTTTTCTTAAAAAATTTATGATCTCAAATACATATATCTTCTCTGTAATGAAAACCAGTCTTGCAACTGAAATACTTTCTTACACCCTGCACTGGTATATTAAGTTTGCCAAGAAATTTGTAACTCCCAGAAGGAAACGTTCGGCGATCTTATAAAGTATATATATTAATGATGAGCGTGATGAGCTGGGCCGATTTAGCCATGTCCGTTTATATAGGCTATAGTTACCATACTAAACGATTAAAATGAAGAAAAATTATGCAGCCCCCATATGGTCGCCTGGATGCAGTGACATGCAGAAGAAGAAGCTTCAGACCTGTCAGAACACTGCACTCCGGAATATCACGGGATGCCTCTTGATGTCTCCAATCGAACACCTACATAGTGAGGTCCATATGCTTCCGGTTAAGGAATACAACGAACTCCTCTCCAAGCAGTTTCTGCTGGGGTGCTTTCGTAGAAACCACCCCTGTAGTCGCCTGCTTGTAGCGGAGTCGCCTCCTAGGAACATCAAGAGGCCTTTCCTTGATTACGTCGACGACATCAGGCAGTACGCCGACCGGA